GAAAACTCGCACTCGGCCACCAGTTAACACTATGGTTTTCGATGCGTTTCTCTCCACGATGGAATTTTTTTCGAATTTTTTTTACTATTTGTATGGGAATCTACATAATTTTCTAAACAAAATGAATCAATAAAAATTTTCACCGCACACCACCTTTAAATTTTCGAATTTTAAAGAAAAATCCTTTTTTTTTCTTGGAATTTTTGGAACTTTCGGGAAATTCCTTTTTTTTCCTTTTTTGAAAATTCCGTTTTTTAAAGATTTTTTTTCATTTTTTTTCCAGAATTTTCACAAATTTTGGTTTTTGGAAATTTTGAAACTTCCGCAAATTTCTTTTTTGGAATCTCTGGATTTTCGGTTTCTTGGAATTTTCGAAAAATTCCGTTTTTTTTTTTTGAAATTCAGAATTTTTCAAAAATGCCGTTTTTCGGAATTAAACAATTTTTGTAGTTTAGAAGAATTTTTTGGAAAATTATTTCGTTTCTTAAATTTTCTTAATTTTCAGTTTTTTGGAATTTTTGAATTTTCCGAATTACCGGATAAATATATTTTTTTTTGGAATTTCAAAATTTTCGGAAAATTCTTCCGTTTTTTTTTAAATTTTCAAACTTTCGTAACTTTCTTTTTTTTTAACTTATGGAATTTTCAGAAAGTTCCGTTTCTTTTGAAAATTTAAAATTTTCGAAAAAAAAAAGTTTTTTTTTTGAAAATTTTGAAGTTTCAAAAATGCTTTTTTTGGAATTTTCGAACAAATTTTTCCCGAAATTTCGAAAATTCCCATTCTTGTAAAATTCCGGGCCCGGGCCTGAGGAAATTTTCAAGGCCCGGGCCCGGCCCGGAAGGCCCGGTGTCAAAAATTCTGTATTTTTGAGCCAAATTTTGAGCTCTCAATATATTTTTTTCCCTTTTTTTTCGTATTTCGGATTGTTTGTCTGTCTGATCAAAAAAGATCGAAAAACTCGAAAAAAATTTTTTAGTCGAAAAAAATCACATAAGGGTCCCCCCTTATGTGTTTTTTGAAAAGTTCGAAACTAGTGAAATGACGGGCCCACCGGGCCGGGCTCGGGTCGGGCCTCCGAAATTCCGGAAAAAGCCCGGCCCGGCCCGTTACAAGTATGAAAATTCCTGTTTTCTGGAATTTTCAGCCTCTCACCATCGCATAGCTCTCCATAAAATACGCCGGCCGCCTAGAAGTGCACTGTAACACCGACATTAACCCGAGTCGACCATTTTGAAGAGTTGCCAATTTGTTCTCGGAGCACAAACTACACAAATTGCCAATTGCTTTCAGACAATTCAGTTTCAGCTCTCCGACACGTGGCAGTCCAATGAGATCATCCAGTTGACAGTATTGATGGAATACTGTAGTTGAAAGTTGGTGGAGAGATTCAGATGTCTCGATTCGCTGGATTTTTGATGGTGGCTGAAAATTCAAGGAAGTTCTAATTTTTTGAAATTTTCAGATTTTTTAAATTTCTGAAAATCGGATTTTTAGAACTTTCTGGAATTTTTGATTTTCTGATTTTTTTCATCTTGATTACCGGCTGCTTCGGTCGGTCTGTATATCTTCTCTGCGTCTCTTCATATCTCCTCTCCTCTTCAATTTTCTCTCGAAGCGTCTGGGATCTCGGATTATTGTCATCTGGAACTTCTGGCCAATTTTCTGGCTGGGCCGCTCGAAAATCGGCGAACAGCGATTCGGCGTGTAGGATCTGAAAAAGCGGACATCTGGATAAACGGACAGACAGATGGAACATTGGACCTACCGTATCCAGAACATCAACGACGGCATTGATAGCGGTGGCTTTTTCGTTTAGATATGATGTCATTTCAATGTTGGTGCACATTTCCCCTGGAAGAAATTTTCTTTCTTTTTTGGGTTTCCAGTGGCCTAGAAAATTTGAAAATTGGGAATCTAGGCCACCTTCAAAGAATCGAAGTTTCGTGGCCTAGGAAACCAAAATTGAAATTATAGGCCATTTTTTAAAAACCCAAACTTTGTGGCCTAGAAAAATGAAGATTCCGGAAACTAGGCCCCCTTAAAAGTTCAAATTCCGTGGCCTAGAAAACTCACGATTCGGGAATCTAGGCCACCCAAAAATATTTAAATTTGGTGGCCTAGAAAATCAAAACTTTCGAATCTAGGCCACCTTCAAAAATCAAAATTCGGTGGCCTAGAAAACCCAAAACCTGGTGTCCCAGAACGCCAAAAACTGGGATTCTAGGCCACCCAAAAATATTTAAATTTGGTGGCCTAGGAAATCAAATCTTGGAAATCTAGGCCACCTGAATTCAAGAAGCTAGACCACCTAAAAAATCGATTTTTTTTGGTGGCCTAGAAAATCTAAATTTCGTAATCTAGGTCATCCAAAAAAATCGGAATTTTGTGGCCATGAAAATATAAAATTAGGCCACCTAAAGTATTTTTTTCGTTTTTTGTTTTTAGTGGCATAGAAATTCAACATTCGGAAATCTAGGCCACATTAAGACATTGAAATTTGGTGGCCTAGAAAAATCATACTTTTGGAAAGTTAGGCCACCAAAACTAACTAAATTTAGTGGCCTAGAAAATTAAAGAGAATCTAGGCAACCTAAACAATTCGAATTCGGCGGCCTAAATACTAAAATTTGGGAAACTCGGCCACCTAAAAAATTTAAATTAGGTGGCCTAGAAAACCAAAATTTGGGAATCTAGGCCATCATACACTAACCTACTATCTCCACGACTAAATTCAACATTCCCACAGTTTTCGTCCTCCTCTCTTCCACTGATTTTGGCTCCTTCACCGATTTGGCCGCCAGAAAAGCACCGTAATCCACCGTAATCAACTCCAGAAGATTCAGAACGAACAGCAAGTTATTCGAGTGAATTTTCAGCTTCTTCTCCTCCGAATTTTTCGAATTTCGCACCAGAATCACTCTGACGACGTCGAGCACTTCACAGAAGGCGTCAGCCGACATCTCCGCGTAGCACGACGACAAAAACCCGTAGTCCTTCTCTAAAAGTGTCGAAAAATAGGCGAGAATCGAGGTGACGTCTTCTGAATTTGTAGAATAAGAATTCAGAATTCTCTCCAGAAGATGTGAATATCTAGGGGACTTCTGGAATTCGATGCACGTCGAATCAGCGGTTTTCACTAGAATCAGAAGACATTCAGTGTAGAATGATGACGTGGCAAGAAGGGTTTCCAGAAGTTCCACGGCTTCTGAAGACATTTTAGAAGCAAATTGAGGGGATCGTTGAATGAGATTCAGAAGCAGACGAATCGATCGACGTGCTTTTTTCAGGGATTCAGATGACGTGGCGGATTCAGAAACCGTCAACGTGGATTGCAGATAATTGGCGAATGTTATGGCGAGAAGAGTTTGATGAATTTCAGCGAAGTTCTGGAACATTTTCAGATTTCGATATTTTGAGTTTTCGAATTTTCAAACTTCTGAAAATCGATCAATAATTTCTTCGCTCGCTTCTTCGGTTCCCACGATTTTCATCGCTTCGAACAGCTCGTCTGATAAGATTTTGGCTGAAATTTTCAGATTTTTTCAGCTAAAAAACCAATTTTCACCTCCATAATCAATTTCTCCGTTGAATTTCTCCCGTTTTCCCAATTTGACAATTTCGCTGAGTAATTTTTCCATTTTTATCTGAAATTCTAGTTTTTTTGCCCTTTTTATTCTTTATTGAGGTTCAATTCACCTATTTTACCTAAAAATCGCTGAAAATTGGCTGGAAACCCACTTTTTAAAATTGAAATTTCAAATTCGCGCCCTTCAACTCTGGTTTTCAATGGAGCGCGCTTGCATTTTACACTAATTTTGGCCGAGACCCCGCAAATTCCGGAGAAAAAAATTTGCGGGGAAAAAAAACTCCGGAGAAAAGTGGGCGGAGTCAGGGGCGGAGATTTTTTTCCGGAATTTGCGGGGTCTCATTTTGGCCATTTTTCGCCAATTTTCAGCTGAAAAAACGCCAAAAAACAAGGAAAATTCTCGAAATTTCAAGAGAATCGTTAATTTAGTGGTTTTTAAGATGATTTTTTGAAAGCTTTCCAAGAGTTTTAGAGAAAAATCGGCTGAAAACTCGTTTTTTTTGCAGGATTACGGTGCGTAGAAGTCCGCAAACACCGATGCAAAATATTGCGGACTAAAATGAAAAATTAAATAAATTTTTAGGTAAAAATTCTGGGGATAAAACCAAGGGAAACTGATAAAAATAATGAAAAAAGCTGCTTTCACAATTTTTAGGTGAAAATATTCATTTTTTTTTAGTAAAAAAAGAGCTAAAGCTATGGGAAATTTTCAGAGAAAAAGCGAGAGATCATTGGGAAGAAAAAGCAAAAATTCACAGAAAATTCTGGGGTGACTAGAACATGAGAAAATGCACAAATATGTGAAAAAACTGTCAAAAAACGGCGGTAAAAATTCAAAACATCAACTAATTCTGTCTTCCAGGAAACAGTGAATTCTCAAAAATCCAATCGGCCGATGTGTCTGCCATCATTTCCGATTTTTCCGAATTCGTCAATCGATCCATGATTTTTTCAGCTACAGTAGGAACGATTCGTTTCGCGTGTTTTCCAATCGAGAGTAGGCGGATTGGGATTTTATGGAGGAGAATGTGAAGGCATGCTGAGTGGCCGGTGGTCCAGGAGATCATTGTAGTGCGCTGGAAAAAAGGAGATTTTGGGTTACTGTAGAATTACTGTAAATTTGAATCTTGTGAGTCGTTACTACTGTATGACTAATGTATACCCAAATCTTGTAAAATGTGGTTACTGTAGGGCTATGGTAGATCTAAATTTTGCGAATCGTGGTTACTGTAAGATTACTGTAGATTCTGGATTTTTAAATTGTTGCTACTCTAGGGCTACTGTACATCTCAATTTTCTTTTTTGAAGTTGTAGGATTACGGTAGATCCAAATTTACGATAATACTTTAATTAGGGCAAGGGTACAATTTTGAAAAATCTGAGTTACTGTAGTCGCAGTTACTGTAGCTAGAAAAGGATTACTGTAGGAAAAAAAAATATTCGAAAATCGAAAGGATTACTGTAGATTCGAATTTTGAACTTTTTCATTTCTATAAGATTACGGTAACTGAAAATTCTAGGAAACTCTAAAAATGAAAAAAAAACCGACCGATTATTTTAAATCTAGGGATTACTGTAGCGGGAGCTACTATAGGTAGAGAGGGCTTACTGTAGGGGAAAACATTGAAAATCAAAAAGATTACTGTAGATTTGAATTTTGTTAATTCTGCTTACTGTGTGGCTACTGTAGATCCTTACGATAAAACTTCAAATAGGGTTACTGTATTATTTTTTTTGGAAAATCTAGGGATTACTGTAGAGGTTGCTGTAGCTGGAAAAGGGATACGGTCAGAATTTCAGAATTTCAGCATTTCTGAATTCCAGAATTCCAGAGCTTCAGAATTTTTGGAGCCACAGAATATCAGAATTTCAGAATTTCAACATTTTAGAATTCCAAAAACTCAGAATTCCAAAAATTCCAGAAATTCTGAATATCTGAAATTAATGAGAAGGATTACTGTACCTTCTGCCATTGCTCCATCTGATCCACAATTGCTCCGAGATGTTGGCTCAGCTTACACAGCGCCTCCTCGTCTTTTGTCAGCGCTCCCCATGGTCTAAAAATGGATATTTTGGCTTAAAGTCTATAAACCTAATTTTTCGAAATTCTACCTCTCTTCCACATGCCCTTGGCTCCTAATATTCTGTGCACACTTCCATAGAGAATCTTCCAGAAGCACGACCATCATGACCAGATTCTGAGGCCCGGAGCTCTTCGAGAAGCACGCCTTCAGAATTCTGGGATTCACCGAATACGTAGAAATCACCATTGACACGAGATGATCCGTTACTTTTTGAGAGGTTCCCGCCTTTTCCGAGTTCTCCGATCTCTCCAGATGCTCAGAAAACGACTTGACGTCATATGTATACTTCAGAATCGCCGTCGAGACTTGCTCCAAGAATTCTGGGCTCGTGTGCTCCGCAAATCCAAGGAGCCGCGTGGCCAATAAGCCTGGAGCTTTACACCCCGAAAGAGCATTTTTGAGGTCTTCAGAAGCCAGTGAGCCCTGGAAAAGTGCTCCAAGTGCTTGCATAGTCTCTGCAATCGAGGCGTTCAGAGCCAGAAGCTCCCGATGAAGCTTCACTTGATGTTTCTGAGGGGTTTGAGAGATCCAAAGAGACGCAGATTTCAGGCAAGTCCCTAGGATATCAAGGAGGCCTGATAGCTGTGGAGTCTTCGTTGAATCACTGAAATTCCAAATCAATTCCATCACTTTATCCACGATTTTCAACAGTTCCGGCTTGAAAATCACAGCATAGGCTACACGGGGATCCTTCAGAAAAATACATAGAGAATGACAAATCCGGATGCAAAGTCTCATAGAAATCCCGTTTTTAGTCCAATCCAACAGCAAATCAATCATTTTTTGTGGTCCCTGAAGTGCACAAAATTGATCCAGGTTCAGGCACGATTCTTGATGCTTCTGATCGGATTCGACGGCTTGAACGAGGTCGTGGAGCGATTTTTCCACGTTTTCTTGTAGTTTTTCGTCGAATTTCGAACTGCAATATTTGTCGATTGCCATGTTGAACTCTCGGACGAATTTGGTACGATTTCGAGGGGAAGCAAGCGGTCCGGGAAGGGTCTCGGCGATTTGGCTGGAAAAAACACACTAATTCAACAGTAATCATAATTTTTCAAAAATTCGAATCTACAGTAATCCTACAGATGCCACGAGTTTAAATATTCGAGACTACAGTGATCCTACAGTAGTCACAAGTTTAAAAATTTGAAATCTACAGTAATCCTACCGTAATCACGACTTTTTGAAAATTCGAATCTACAGTAATCCTACCGTAATCAAAATCTTGAAAGATCCAAATCTACAGTAATCTTACCGTTATCACGATTCTTAAAAGTTCAAATATACATTAACCCTGCCGTAATCACACTTTCAAAATTCAAACCTACAGTAATCCTACAGTAATCACGCTTTTTCATAATTCGAATCTACAGTAACCCTACAGTTGTCACAATTTAAGAAATTTAGAATCTACAGTAACCCTGCCGTAATCAAGATTTCAGGAATTCAAATCTACAGTAATCCTACCGTAATCCCGACTTTTCTAAAATTCGAATCTACAGTAATCCTACAGTAATTACGATTTAGGAAATCAAATCTACAATAGTCTTACAGTAATCAAAATATTAAAATTCGAATCTACAGTAATCCTAATCATTATTTTCCCCTAAAAAGAATAGCAAAAAAAAGTCTCACATCTTCTCCAAAATCTCCCGTGCCTTCATCGATTGCTCATCCTTCCTTCTGCTCTCCTCTTGTTCTTTTTTCTCAGCTTCTACCGTATCCCCCACCTCCTTGAAAACCCCAAACAAATGCCTTTTCAGCTCCTCAACTTGACTTCCAGAACTGATCATTTTGGCTTGCAACGAGTGCTCTTTAGTGCAAACCACATGAGCAACCGCTTCCAAATCCGATCGGATCACTGTAGATGGGCACAGAGCGCATTCACGTGGGCGATCCGAGGGGGCGGAGCTTGGCCAGAGGAATGCAGGAGCTTCTGTTGGCTCTTCTGGAGAAGCTACCAACGAGTTCAAGTACTCCAGCATGTCTTCTGGAGCCTTCTCTCCCGCCAACTCCCGAATCTTCGTCTGGCGCACCTCTTGCGCGTGTTTCCTTCGTTTCACTGCCGCCGCCTCTTGCTCCCTCTTCTTCTGAGCCTTTTCCTCGTGCTTTTTGGCTCTCTCATCTGCTAACTGCTTCAGTTTCTCCTCTTCTTTCGCATCTTTCACTCGTAATTCGTACTGTTTGTTCTCCTCTTGCAACGTGGCAATGAATTTCACCTCCATCACTCGTTGGTCGTCATCCTTGGCTTTTCGAATCACTTCCATTATGTTCTTATCACGATTGTCGGAGGCACGCTGCATTCGCGCTTCGAGGAACTGGCGTTTTTGTTCTGGAAAACAATGAATTTTGTATATTGTGGTTACTGTAGGATTACTGTAGATTTGAATCTTCTGATCAGAATTTCTAAATCATGATCACTCTAGGGGTACGGTAGTTGAGAACTCAATCGAATTAGGGTTACTGTAGTTGAAAATAATAAATAAATCGATGAATTTCTAGGAGAAAAACTAGGGATAAGCTTAAAATGTATAGCAAGGAAGGGATTACTGTAGGAAAATATTAAAATCTAAAGGATTACTGTAGGGGAACAATTCGAAAATCGAATGTTGCAAATCGCGGTTACTGTATGGGGTACGGTAGCTGACAAGTTTTTAGTGAAAAGTCAATTTAAGAAAAAAACCACACTAGGGTTACTGTAGTTGAAAAATAAATCGCCGTATTTTTCAAAGAAGTTTACTGTAGCTACACTCACCATAGCTAGCGATGGATTACGATAGCCAAAATTATGGGGAGTACTGTAGTTCAAGTTTATCATTGTAATTAAATGATTATATCGATTACTGTAGATAAGGCTACTGTAGACACTAGGGGTTTTCCAGATCGAGAATGCTGGATTACTGTAGAAGTACGATAGCTGGAAACTTAATTTATGATCAAAAAATTCACCTAGGGTTACTGTAGTTGATAGGTAAATCGATTGATTTTTCGAAAGATGAATAGGGATTACTGTAGTTAAAGTTACTGTAGAGCTAGAGAGGGATAACGGTAGCTCACAATATATTGATGAGAAGGTACTGTAGTCCAAATGTATCGCTGTAATGAAAAGGCTACTGTAGCTAAAATTACTGTAACCGAGAAAAAATATAGTTAGGACCACTGTAGCTGAACCTGGGTTACTGTAGTAAGGTCAGAGTACTGGATTACTGGATTAGAGTACTGGATTAGTTAGGGATTTAGGATTTATAATCACTGAGAGATTAGATTTCTCTAACCATTGGCAGAAAGCTATCAATAGGGCGAAATATGCTAGTTACTCTATTTTTAAAACTTATCATAGTAAGAACGTTAGATTAATGTCATTACTATATAAGACTTTTGTGCGACCGTATTTGGAATATGGAACGGTGGTAGCCAGCCCTTCTAAACACCAGCTCATTGACAATATAGAGAAAGTGCAAAGCTCCTTCACTAGAAAATTGATGAATAGAATAGTGGGTAGAAACTTAACGAGAATTGATAAGGATTACAAAACATCTCAAGAAGATTGACCGAATTCAGCCTAGAATAACTACAATCTAGACGGGAAAAGCTTGATCTGAAATTCTTCAACAAACTCATTCTAGGTAAAATTAATATAAATCATTTATCATATTTCAAAATTAGATCGACAAAAACGCGCAGCCGCCACACCTACCAATGGAAAACTCCAAAGTCTAAACTTAAACAAAACTTCTTCACACATAGGGTTCTTAGTAAAATGATGAGCTCTACAAAACGGATCTAAAAGCCTGCTGCTGTCAGAAGTTCAGTAAAAGATTTGTTATTATCCACTATTATTCATTTCTAGGTTAAGAAATATCAATTTTATGTCACCATGTCCCTTTTTGTCTATTTATTCTCTTTTTCATTCTTTTTTCTTCTATTCTTCCACGTATTTTTTACGTAATAAATACAATACAATACAATTACTGTAGTTGTAATTCGTGTTCCTAGAAATGAAGTTTGATTTCTGTGAATTGCGGTTACTGTATGGGTACGGTAGCTGAAAACTCAATTTGCGAAAAAAAATCCAACAAGGATTACTGTAATTTCCATATATGGAAAATTAGAGATTACTGTATTTAAGATTACTGTAGAACTATATCTGAATCTGAGCTACTATAGATACTACGAATCTACAAGATCAGAGTACTGGATTACTGTAATTATGATTCCAGTTCCTCAAACTGACTTACTGTAGCTATAACTAGATTACGTCTATAGCTACAGTAATCCAGTACTTTCCATTTCCTTTCTCACCTCGAATCGCTTCCTGCTTGGCTCTAACTTCCTCTCTTCTCGTCGTCAGCTCCTTCAATTTGAACGTCTTCGCATCCTGAAGCTGTTGTCTCAACTCCTCCGCATGCTTCTGTTTCATCTCATGCCTCTTCCCAAAATCATCATCATCCTTCTGACAACGTCTTCTCGAAGGACTCGACATCTTCTCATGTCTCTCAACTGGCGTTCCCGGCTCATGAATCGATTTTTGAGTAGACTTCTGATGGTACGTCGCCACCGATTCCTGCTCCATGAGCTCCGACCAAGCCGAATTCCGAATCTCCTCGAAGACTTTGAAGAAGTTCTCCATCTCCTCCTTCTGCTTTCTCTGCGTCTTCCTCTTCTGCTCTCTCTCCAAACTCGCCGCTTCCATTTCAACCTGTCTCTCGAGTTCCGCATCTATTTCCATGGATTCCGCTTGTTTTATTTCCAAATTCAAACTGTTTTCTTCCAGTGCCAATGACTCTTCCTCCTCTGTCATCTCTCTCCATTCATCATCTTTTTCCAGCTCTTCTGGAAGGGCCACATAGCCAAAAAGGGATCCATTTCGAGATTGGGTCGGTTGAGAAGCTGATGAAGAAGGCGTCGGGTCTGCTGGAACGACGTCTTCTGAATTTTCGGACGATGGGGCGTTGGGAGGATTCGATTCTTCGTTTATTGATTGAAGTTCGGCATTGGCAGAGGATGGGGAGGGTGTCTCCTAGAAACATCAATTTTAGAAGAAGGGATTTGTGTGCCTGTGTGTCCAGATGTCCACCAGACACATTAGATTAATATCAGGCTATTCCAAGGTCATTCACCATGGTGGCCTAGAAAATTCACCTTGCGAAAGTTAGGCCATCATTGTAAATGGGCTAAAAGACATACTAGGTGAATACCAGGCTATTCCCGGATCATTTACCATGATTGCCTGGAAAACTCAACTCGTAAAAGTTAGGCCACCATGTTGAAATGACCTAGAAAACGCAAAAGGTTAATATCAGCCCATTTCTAGATTCTTCGGCATGGTGGCCGAGAAAATACAACTTGCGAAAGTTAGGCCACCATGTCAAAATGACCTAGAAGACAGACTAGGTGAATAACAGGTTATTTCCAGGCCACTCTAACTGTTAGAATCTAACATGGTGGCCTAGGAAACACAGCTTGCAAAAAGGTTTCATTTTGCACCATTTCTAGGCCATTTACCATGGTGGCCTAGAAAACTCGACATAAACGTAAGTTTCACGTGACCTTCTTTTGCTGGGTTTTCTCCAGCCATGTGGCAGCTCTAGCCAGCTAGATCACAGATCCAGTCAGGTATATTCCTAGATTTTCCGAAAAATCAGTAGTTGTGTGTTAACTGGGCACTCTTCTGTTGTGTTTTTTAAAAAGTAAGCAAGTTTGCTTTGGCGGGAATTTCAAAAAATTCAAAATTCCAGACTTTTTGATTCGCTGAATCGAAGAGAGAGAGAGAAAAAATCTGAAAGATGACGACTACACCGAATAGCAAAAGTCGTAACAAGAAGGAGGCGGCGGAGAAGAAGACGAAGACGTCGAAGACGACGACGACGAAGAAGAAGAATTCAACGGTGTCAATGTCGAAATCTCAAACGTCGATGGATCAGAAGGAGAACGAGCCGAAGGATGCTAAGAAGAAGGCAACGACGACGACTTCTGAAGTGGCCAAGAAGAAGGAGGTGGTGACTCCGAATCCAAAGGAACCAGTCAAAGATCAGGGAGACAAGGATCAGAAGGATGGGAAGAAGAAGGATTCGAGAGCCGATGACGATGCTAATAAGGTGAGATCCTTACCGTAAGGTTTCTGGGATTACGGTAGTTGGCTTGGAAATTTTCAAAAAACTCAAAAAATCTACAGTAATCCTTGAGATAAGTGTGTGATTTCCGTTATTTTTCGTTTCAAAACAAAAATTTCTAAATCTCTTTCGATCGATTATTAGGGATTACTGTAACTAGAGATGAATTACGGTAGCTAGAAAATATATTAGCTGAACCTGGGTTACTGTAAATGCTAGATTACTATAGAAAACACACTAGATGAATATTAGGTCATTTCTAAATCGTTTACCATGGTGGCATAATTTTACCATGGTTTACCATGGTGGCATAACAAGTAAAATTTTCTAGGCCACCATGATAGATGATCTAGAAATGACCTAACATTCACCTAGAGCGTCTTCTAGGTCATTTCAACATGGTGGCCTAGAAAACTCAGTTTGGAGAAAGTTAGGCCACCATGCCGATTCGCCTAGAAATGGCCTAACAGTCATCTGATGTGGTTTCTAGTTCATTTTGAGCTTGATTGCCTAACTTTTGCAAAATGAATTTTCTAGGTCACAGTGCTAAAATGGTCCTTAGGTGGCCTAGAAAACTCAACTTGGAAAAGTTAGGCCACCATGAGAAAAATTGAAAAATCTAAAATTTCAGCAGCCAAATGAGCCATCTGGAATGGATGTGGTTGTGAAGGAGGACGAGAAGAAGGTGAAAATGGACGATGGCTATGAGGATTTTGGTCCGGGTGCTCAGCAGAATAATTGATCTTTTTTTATAGAGTAAAAATACATTTTTGGTGTTTTTTTTTTAATTTTTCAGTAAGAAATTCTTACTTTTCCCCCTCGTCTCCCTCCAATTTTCTGCTGATTAAAAGCCTCGACACTCTTCCTAACTGCCATTGGATCAGCAAATGTGAATCCACACTGTCCTCCTGTTTGTCCCGATGTCCCTCTTTTCTCTTTCTTCTGTTTTTGCCGCAATTTCTCCACTAGAACCTGCTGATTTTTCTCCCATAACAGCTGTCGACTATAGGCCATTTTTGCCATTGAAGCTCTTGTTTGAGGCAAATCCATCGCTGATTTCGGGCATGTTAGCGTTCGATTTGTGGTTGGTGGACCTCGTCGATACGATGTTGAAGACAACCTCTCATAGACATTGAGGGGTTCTGTAGATTGTGATTTTGCTGGGAGCTCTGTCTCTTTCTCCACCGAAAATTCTCTGTCAAATTCGGATACTGTAGTGCTGGATGTGGATTTTCGACGGCGACTTGTCACTAGCTTCCATCCATCTTCTGGTGCCGTGGAAGAGGAAACGGCGACGGCGGCCACGGCCGCGGCAGCTGTTATTCGGGCGTAGGTGAGGTTGGATTGCGAGGAGGCGGTGGGCTGGAAAATTGGGGATTTTTAACCTATTTTAAGGTTAGGAAAGCCTATTTTAAGCCTATTTTCAGTCTAAATGAGCCTATTCACGCTTGATTTTAGTCTATTTCTAGCCTATTTGTGCCTATTTTCAGCCTATTTTTAGACTAATTTAAGCCTATTTTTAATCTATCTGGCCAAAGATTCCAGCTACAGTAATCTAAAAATATGTTAATCTTCCCGGTTTTTTATCTCGATTTTTTTGCGTTTTCAGTCAATTTTTCTGGGAAAAAAATCCAGAAAAAATTGATATTTTCTTCGATTTTTCGCAAAATTTTTAGACCTTTTTAGGTTTTTCAGCTATTTTAGAAGATTCTTTTTCGATTTTTCCGGTTTCTTTTGTGTGAAATTCGATGCTCCTGACGGAAGATTACTGTAGATTACTGCAGAAAACTTGTAGTTTGTAGTTTGATTTTCTGCACACAAACCCACGTCGAATTACGACATAATTGTTTTCTACAGTAATCTACAGTAATCCAACACCGTTCCATCAAATTTCAGGCAAAAAAAACCGGAAAATCGAATAAGAATCTTTAAAAACAGCTGAGAAACCTTAAAAGGTCTAAGAACTTTGCGAAAAATCGGAGAAATTTTAGTTTCAAAAATCCGAAAAAATACAAATATTTTTAGGTTACGGTAGTTGTCGTTGTGGGACCTTGCCCCATTTTTAGGTCTAAAAATGCCAAAGTGCGAATTTTCTACCTCAGAGGACTTCTGATTTGGACTAGTGGGTGATACATTCTTCACGGCTTCAGCAATAATCGTGGATATCGGAAGAGCATTTGCATTCGGCGATGACATGGATTTTCGGACTTCCCAAGCCACTGAGGGCCGTTTTATTGTCTCCTGCGGATTATTCTCATCCTGGTCCCATTGTTTTTCAACGTTTATGGTCTCGATGAGCGATTTGAAGTCGTTGGAGGATGATTGGAGATATAGCATTGCTTCCTGAATTTTTAAAAAATTTAATTAATTAATTTTTTGAAAAATTTCCTACCCTACACCCTGCCACCGACTGTTCACTCCTGCACATTTCATACATCAAATCAATCGTGGTCTTCAGATTCTCCACATATCCGGTCCATTGTCTTGCTCGTTTCTTGCTGAAAAATTTGAATTGCGAAATCGAGAAATTCCGTTTTTTCTCTACCGATTCTTCTTTTTTTTCGACGACCTACTGACGATGGATTCTGCTTTTTCTCGATCCGCCGGGTTCATTTTACTGAAAAATGGATTCTTTATAGAATTTCAGCTAGAAAAATCCAACAAAAATATCAATGAGAGAAACAGCCATGCATTTGAAATCATGCGGTGTTTTTTTTTCATTGGCATTCTCTGCGCCTCCACTCTCTAACACATGACCATGGAGCGCGTTTGCATTTCGCCAATTTTTCTTCGATTTTTTTTTCAATTTTTTTTCCCCATAAAAACGCGTTTAAGAATGACAAAAAGGCTTTTAAAAATTATCTGTGTATACTAAAAGAATCACATTTTTATTTAAATTAGAGAAAAACACAAATCTAAATGCATGACACCCATAAAAATTTAAATTTATCGTTATCAATTTATCAAAACTCATTTTCCCTCTTTTTTCCATACATTGAAATCCAATTTTTCCAGGTCACAACCGAAAAATTGTATATAAAACCTGTTGTTATATCGTCACAAAAAGATTAACATCTCCGTGTCAAATCGGATTTAAACAAGGTTCGTTCTTTGAATTTTTTCCAAATTTCCTCCTATTTTAAAAATGAATAACTACCAACCAATTGTAAGACCCCCAAAAAATGTTTTAACTGATTTTCAAATTTTCAGAATCCAGAAGACACAAAAATGCAGGTCAAAATCCATCCCAAAAACACATTTACAATAATTATGGTCCTCGGATTTTTGTATTTAGCTTATTTGATATTTTTCGAGGTAAAAAAACTCTGGAAAATCTAATTTTCAAGCCTATTTTCTTGTAGAGTGGCGATGGGATGCCAGAAATCGATGTAGATTTGAAAGATGTGATTAGCTACGCGGTTCTAGCCATAGAAATGGGTGGGCATGCAGTTATGAAGGTTCATGAGGAGAAATGTGAGTTTTTGGCGTTATTTGGTGCAAAAAATCATGTAGATTCACATTTTAAAAAATGAAAAATTCAAAAAAAATCCTGAAACGCAAAACAAGGCGAAGTGGGATTCGGTGGCCGAATCTGAGTTTTCTAGTCCATTTGGTGCGAAGAAGCGCGCCAATTCAAATTGTTTTTTTTTCAAGTTTTTCGAGTAATCTAGCTGAAAAAATTTGAATTCGCGCCCTTCTTCGCAGCACATGGACTAGAAAACTCGCACTCGGCCGCTGCGGTTTTTTTGCATTTTAGTAATTTTTAAAAAAAATTTTTCACTGTTTTTTTTTTGAGAATCTGCACACATTTCTGTACAAAATAAGGCAATAAAACTCTTAAATTATCGATTTTCAGCTCTAAACGCCGCTGCAAAAGGGCTGACTGACGAGGGAAAAGAGGAATTGTTAACCAGAGCAGATTTGATATCAAACCACTTGATTTTGGATATTTTGCAAAGGTTTCCACAGCTAAAAGTAAGCTAAATATCGCTGAAATATCGTAAAACCTGTAATAGAAGGGCCCCTAACTTTGAGCCAATTCATCTTGGCTCCTGTAAAACATATCAAAACGTTGTCAATTGATAGATTGTTCATCATAATATCATGACTATTTTGTCAGTTGTGACATTCTCAGTATCTCTCAAAAGAGCCGAGATAATTGAGTTCAAACTTGACAGCGTGGGAGCCCTTCTATTACAGGTTTTACGAAAAACCAAAATTTTCCAGATAGTTTCCGAGGAAAAAGCGTCAGAGTTCTCGGATCGTGAAGTGGAGCCATATCGATCGGATAACTATGCGGTTTGGCAGAGTGTGAAGGAGATTCTGAACCAAATTCCATCCCGAAGACTTCAATTATCTGATGTTCGAGTTTTTGTGGATCCATTGGATGCGACCCAAGAGTTTACAGGTATTAGGAAGCATTATTGTGTAAAAAACCATGTTTATTGCATTAAAATCAGTAAAAATAATACCTAAATTCACATGAAAAAAAAAAGAAAAATCTCGAAAAAATCGCTTTTTGGACTTCAGGAAGGTTCTCGAACCTCCGAAAAATGAGCTTTTTTTGAAAATTTTCTCCAATTTTCAGCAATATTTTTAGACTTTTTTAGGTTTTTCAGCTGTTTTTGAAGATTCTTTTTCGATTTTTCCAGTTTTTTTCGTCTGAAATTTGATAGAACGCTGTTTGACTACTGTAGATTACTGTAGCCCAAACGAAATAATAGTCCGAAATTGGCTCAAAGTGGGCTGAAAATAAGTTAAAATCAATTTGAAAGGGTCGAAAATAGGCTTAAAATAAGCTAACATTGGCTTGAAGTGGTCTAAAAATGGTGGAAAATGCTTCAAAAATCATAAAAATTGGCTTAAAATGGACTAAAATAGGCTAAGTGGGATTTAAACTCCCCAAATTTAGTCGAAATTGGTCCAGAACAGGTCTGAAATGGTCCGAAATTAGCTTGAAACAGCCCAGAATCAGCTGAAAATTGGTTGAAATCCGCTTGAAATAGTCCAAAATTGACTTCGAATAGTCAAAAATATGTCGAAAATCGGTTATTATCGAGTATCGACCATTTTAAGCCGGTTTTGGCCAATATCAAGCCTATTTTAGTCTATTTTAAGCTAATTGTGGGCTATTTTAAGCCAATTTTCATAATTTTTCATAATTTGTGGACAATTTCTCAAGAATTTTGATGCATTTTCAACCATTTTTAGGCCATTTCAAGCCAATTTTAGCCCATTGTAAGCCTATTTTAGATCCTTTCAAATTGGATTTAGCTTATTTTGCAGCACATTTTTAGCCAATTTCGGGCTATTATTTTCTTTGGGGTACAGTAATCTACAGTAATCAAACACCATTGCATCGAATTTCAGACGAAAAAACCAGAAAAATCGAAAAAGAATCTTGAAAAATATCTGAAAATCCGAGAAAGGTCTAGAAATTTTGCGAGAATTCGGAGAAAAAAAATATTATTTCTGGATTTTTCTATCATTTTTCCCAAAAAAAATACTGAAAATGCACAACAATTGAGAAAAGGAACATTAAAATAATTTTTGGTTACTGTAGCTTCAAGTTTCTTGAAATATTCTTTTTAAAAATTACTAAAACCTTCAAAAAATCTGAAAAAAGCAATGAAAACGTCCGCAAAAATCGTTTCTAGATGAATTTTTCTCAATGAACGACATTTCTTTGACTTTTTTCTCTTTTTTTTATGTGAATCTACATGATTTTTTTTGTACATAATCAGCTTTAAAAACCTTAAAAATCGAAATTCCTTCCGAAAGGATTTTTATCATAACTACAGGCGGCCCAGCTGATAAATTGTCCCTAGAACGAGATATTCATACAGTTCTGGTATCAAATGATAGATCTCGACA